ATATAGTATTTGTTTATATATTTGCTGATATATTTGTTTTGTCTGAAAACCAAATCCTAAGACAGACAAAACAACAACGTACACACAGCTTTTTTGCATCAGTGTAATATTATCCTAAAAGTGATATTCTTCTGAGCTGTTGTTTCAAGAATTTGCATTATATCCTGAATATGGTGGGCGAGGGGGGAGCAGCCAGATTTTATTTTGTGGGGGTCATGTAAATATGTAACAATTTCAGGAAATCTTCAAAACAGAAGACATTAAGACATTTAAAATAAAGGTGAAACAGTGAAATATATTTTAGAAAACAATGTCAATTTCCTCTTATGTATTCTGACAGGTAAAAAGCTACCAGTTGTTGTTTGCTTCCTCCAAATGCAGTGCATTAAACAGCACATCTAAGTTACATAAATGACAAATATAGCAATGTATTTTGCATGTGGTGCTAAGCTATTGGTACTATGCAAATCTTTGAATGTTAATATTTCTTTTGTGTAATTTAATTCATAATTTATATTTGTATAATGATAATTGTATCCCATTTTTTAAGATTCAGTTTTCCTCAATGATCATCTATAAATGAAGATAATATGTATTATTTGGGATTTCTAAGTACTGAGAGACACAGATTAGCAGAATTAAACTGAATATTTTACAGTACTTGACATCCATGGAGAGGTTTGGAGTGACTTTGACACACTGAGGAAATGTAATGTCACTTCAGAATTATCAGATCTCTGTTGTATGCATATTTGTTTTTTCCTTGGTACATTAAGGATTGATCATAATGTGTTCTATCCAGCTGAAAACAATGTTTCCCAGACATTATTCCTGTTTTACACGAGTACTTGGCATGAATATAAATTGTAAAAAAACAAAAAACATTTTTGTCACAGCATTGCATAATGCCCACTATTGTTATTCACTGGGATATAGTTTTGGAATACTTTATTTATGAATAAGTAGGATAAACACCAAAATACCAGCTCATAAGACAACCTTGACGAACAGCTCATGAATTATTCAGATAGACTATCGTGAATATTCAGAGAGACTCTTAGTGAGTGAAGGATGCTTCATGAGTTCAAAATATTCTGGTGTGGTCTACAAAGTTATTGGCATAGCCGACTATTCCTAATGCATGTACTTAATGCATGTAAACTTGACCTATGGTGATCTGAAAACAAATCAGCATAGCTTACTAGAAAATAAAGCAGGATGATAAAATATGGATGAGGCTCCTTACAGTTAGTCCTGAATTATAAAAAAGAACAACCCAGTTAGCAATACAGCTATAAATTTCATTGGATAATTATTCACAGAGATGTTAGGCTCCGCTATTGAATGTCTAGCAAAATTACGGATGTCAGACATGATATAAAATCCACATAATGACTTTGTCTGTCTGTGGAGATATAATTTTAAGAAATGATAGTGCTTTGTGTCTTTGGTATATAGCAGCAGGCTATATGTAATGTATTAACATGGTAATCAACAAATGTGATACTAAAGACTTTATGCTGCAAATCGGGATAGGAAGAAATGCTCTTAAAAGAAAAAGCTAAAAGTGGACAAGAGTTTTCTTAAGTACCACAAATCACATTTGTGGCCATGTGGAGACTGTCTTCAAGTTCATTTCTTGACTCCAAAGATGTTCTGTGAGATACATTGCATTTTAATAAATAAAATTAGTCTAAAGCTACTTAAAGGAGAACTATGAGGTGAGTGTTTTTCACTCACCTCATAGTTCTAGCCGACCTGTGACAATGAGACTGTCACAGGTCGGCTCAGTAGATCGGAAGGTGAGCGAACACATACCAGCGTTTGCTCACCTCTCGATCCTGTCCCGGCTCTCTGCTGTGACAGGGGAGGGGCTGGATTCCCCCCTCCCCGCTCCAATCCGCCAGCACTGACTGGCGGAACGGACGGGGGAGATGGCGGGTACAGCTGGCTCATCCTCTAGATAGGCAGAGCCAGCTGTCAGTCACGCAGCTGTGCGGATCCAGACATATTTGTCGGGATCCGCTTCAGCTGCAGCATCGGGTGACAGGAGGACGCTAGATTGTGTCCTCCCGTTACCCTAAGGAGAACTATGGGGAAAAGCCTTAACCCCATAGTTCTCCTTTAAGTAAAACCAAACTCGATCAGAAATCTGATACAAAATTTAACATGTTAATGTCATTTCAATTGTTGTTTTCAATCTTTTCAAATCTGTGGGTTCCTCCTCTGAAACTTTCTGTTATGGGGTGACAACTATGCCTCAATTGTGCTGGCAAGTTTTCACCATCAGGATGCTAGCCTAAAACAATGTTATGCAGGCAATGCTGGATAAACTGGCTGCATGAGACTTAAGGAGATCAACAACAAAGGATACAAATTAAAAAAAAGATCTTAAGAAGAATAAGAAGAATATATTGCAAAAAATAAAAAAAAAGTTTATTAAACAAAATTGATTGTTGTTTACCTATTTATCTCCATTTGTCTTACAGCTACATTCAAATTCAGACAAAGGTGATGGATCAGTGAAATATATTTTAACTGGTGAAGGAGCGGGGACTATATTTGTAATTGATGACACAACGGGGGATATTCATGCAATGAAAAGTCTAGACCGGGAACAAAAATCGCATTATGTTCTACACGCCCAAGCTATTGACAGAAGAACCAACAAGCCCCTTGAGCCAGAATCAGAGTTCATTATTAAAGTACAAGATATCAATGACAATGCACCAGAATTTCCTGATGGACCCTATATTGTCACAGTTCCAGAGATGTCTGACATTGGTAGGTATTGTATTTCTTTCCATTATTTAATAAAACAGAATACAGTAAATAATTGTTATGTAATAAAGAAATACATGACCCTAAACAGCCTGGTGATCAGCAGCCATCGTCTGGCAACCTCAACTGTAATTCAAGGAAATATTTTAAATTAAAATAGTAATGATTTATCCAGTATGTGTAACAATACTTTGAAGGCCTCTACTTTATATCAATAACATAGTTATATCACCAACTTTAGACTTTTAAAGTGTTTTATCTTATTACTTTTTATATTCTCCCCAGGCAATCCAGAAAAAAATACAATTTCTCTGTCTCTATAATTTTTGTATTAGTAACTTTGTTACTCATTTTGATCAGCTGGTAGAAGAGAAGGAACATAGTGCCAAACACCATAAAATCTAGCCTATATTTTTTGTTTAATAACACATGCCATCAAGCATAGTAATAGTCACATTATTATTTCAGGTTTGTAATTCATCTTCTATGCAATCTAAATAGATTAAGTTTTATTCAGAACCATTTGTTCTAAAATTGTAGACTACAGTGTTTGAAATGCATAGTATGATGCCATCACCAATAATGAGCGCCATGGCCAGCCAGACAGTATAAATTCAACACTTTGATGAATAACATTTACATATTTATTTGACGCCAAAAATTCCATGAACAGCACGTTATAATCCTTCATGTTATCTTGAGTTTAGATTTTTACTGCTGGAAATATATATGTGTGAGGAATTCAGGCTGCTCTTTGTTTAGTGCTGTTGATTTGCTTAAGGAGTACTTTTTTCACTTGACCAAGTGAACCTCTGATAAGTCTGACTACCCAATCTTAACAAAATGTGCAAACGATTGTAAAAACAAGTTGTATAAGTCTTTGCACATGATTCAATAATTGAAGTGGATGCAGCATCAATGAGTAATGAAAATGCTTCTTTATTACACCAGCCCGTATATAAATCCTGGACCAAGAACTGGAGCTTTCTTCCCTCCTGAATCACCTTAAATCCTCCCAGTTCCAGGATCCCAAGCAGAATCCAGGCATACCCTTGCTTCCTGACACATTGGGGTTGATTTACTAACCTTATAAACACACCATGAACGTGTATACACCTCTGTAGTGTGTTCCCTCCCAGCATGATCTTTATATATATATATATAGAGAGAGAGAGAGAGAGAGAGAGAGTATTTATACAGTGCCACCAATTTATTCAGCACTTTACACACAGTTGCACATTCAGATGTCAGTCCCTGCCCTCAAGGAGCTTACAATCTGAGGTACCTTTCTCATGTGTATGCATACAGGGATAATTTAGACAGGAGCCAATCTACCTACCAGCCTGGAGTGTGAATGGAAACCAGAGTGAAGAGAACATGAAAACTCTTTGCAGATAGTGTCCTGACTGGAATTTGAACCAGGGATCCCCAGTGCTCCAAGCTACTATTCCAGTGTGCCACCCAATATATAATTAATACAATGCAGACACAAATCAAGTAAATCAAAGTATATTAAGAGAATACACATATCCTTTATTTTAAAAACAGGCTTCTAAAAGTATTGTACAAGGAAAATAATTAAATTTTGAAAAGTGTATAGATTTATTAGCTATTTTAAAAACAAGATGACAGTTTATCTGGCAATTCATAATGCTGTGGTTGTGGCAGGATTAGGAAGCAGGCATGAACCTTTTACTCCATTATTCTAAACCCTCTATATTGGATTTTAATAGCCTTTACAAGTTAGCTAAAGAAACAATATTTCTAGATCTTATTCCCCAGTTCATCATGCATTTAAAAAAAGAAAAGGGTCAATGGGCCAGTTTTACTTATGCATCCAAGATCTCAATTTAAATAATTATTAAATTAATAGTTATATGTAAGTATCAAAAATATGATCTAAAATTTGTATAGCAACTTGACTATTTTGGCATAGGCTGATAAAATTACCCATATTAGAATTAGACAAAACATGTGCTGGACTGGGTAAGAAAACTTGACTGATATCATTGATGTAGAAAGGGGGTTGAAATGTGCACATTAAAAAAACAATTGGAAGTCAGAACCACATCTTTGTTTTGTGGTAAAATGTGCAAAAATGCATGTTTACCACAAGATATTGCAACACACACAAATGCACCCAATGCACATTAGCAGAAAACCACAATGGACCAGTGCACCACATTGTACAGATTTGAACCCTCAGTGCTTTGTAATGCATTGGAGGGTAAGCCTTACCCCAACACACAAAAATTTGTGACATAACGTATGTTAACATGCATGTTACCCAAATTACTAGTTTAAGTTATGATCTGCTAAATAAGCATTCACACTTACAAATATATGGTTCTGAGGTTTCAATGATGACATATTTGAGCTCAACACAATAACAGAAATGTTTTGGTATATAGTATTAAGGCTTAAATAAAGTGAACCAACAGTCTATTTAACTACAAAACACAAAGAAAAGATTTAAACATGCAAAATACACAGGCATTGACATATAAGAGACAAACCATAGACATACATTTAAGTGATGATGGAGTGCCTGAATATTTACCCGTTACTTGTCCCATGAGAGCCCCATTCTGGTGGTCTAAAAAGACTAACTTTTCTCTTCCTGCCCCTTGATTAATATACTTCCTGTGTTCTTAGGGACGTATTGAGAGCAATTGATTGGTGGCCCCTCAATGCTATGTTATTCAACTTTTATCCTGGAAAAAATCCAGGCGGTCAGGTAACCCCAGGCCATGATTTTATCTAAATCCAGGGGACAATCTGGTTGTTTTACTACCTACAAGGAAACCTTTAAAGATAATTGGCCAGAGACAAAAGAAAGTATGTACCTATTGTGAGAATCAAGGGTCTCGGCTCCGAAAAGACTGAGGACTGTATTGTGACCTGCCATACTATATGTATTTAACTGGATACGCCTGGGCAGATCAATAACCCTATTTACAATGTATTGGTATGCAACTCCTCTGGACAGTGATAACCCACACCAAAGAAAATATTTCATTATCTCATGTGGAATATTTAAAAACAAAAATAAAACTATATACTTATGACAATTGGACATAAACTCATAAGCTAACAATGCATGTGATAACCCACCACAGAAGTGTCAATCCAGCCTGAAGGAAACAATTAAATACATTAACAAAATTTATCAATAGGCAGTTAAGTGCACTATTCACTCTATATGAGGGTATATGGTGGTTTTTTAATAGATCAAAAAGAATTTCAGTTTGCCATTTTTTTTTTAGCTTACCCTTGTTTTAAGTGTCATAATTTATACATTTTATGCCTCATTTTTGCAGTTGCAATGAGTGTTTGCTGTTGTGCTGTATTTTCTATGTGCTGCATCTTTTAAATAAAGCTTACCTAGATAACTGATGGACACCTGCCCTGTTCCCAGACAACATATGGATCATAGAAATGATACAGTATTGACATATACCATTTTGAATTAATGTGTGTATTACACCAACACACTAGCAAATTTTAAAGCTAATGCACTAACATTATTTACTGACCTGCAGTTTTTTCCCTTTTATACACCTTTTATAAACTATCAAAATAATTATTAGCTTCACATCGAGGGCCTTGTGCCTTTTTAAAAATGTATACTGTTCCTTAAAATAAAACACAAACAAGGTTGTGGGGTCCCCCTCAAAATTAATATCAGACCATTATCCAGGCATGCTGCCTAGGGAAGTGGGGGTTTATGAGGAGGGGGACTTCTGTAAGCCCCCTTTAATGATAAGTACCATTTCTATTAGACAAATGATAAAAATAAAGACACTCAATGTAAAAAAAGCCTTAAATAATATCCCACATCCCATGTAAATCCAGTACCAGTCATGTTATCTAGCGATGTAGATCTAGCATCAATCCTGGTAACCTGCCACCACTACAACCTGCCACCCAACTATGTAGCCCCACCAACACAGTTATCTGCTGTCCAACAATTGTGCCCTGCACTACTACCTCCACAAAATGACATATTTTTGGCCACCTTCTGTTTGTAAATAAACTGTCCATAAATCTTGGGTGGCATCATTGATCAAATATGGTAAATTACATAATTCTTCAGTGGTAGTGCTACCACCACTCTGGGATGTCAGTTTATTTTGGGAGTTATAGGTAAAATACAATTTTTGTATGAAACAATTTTAGAATGTGGAATGTTTGTCTCCCATCTTCAATAGCCTCTTTAGCACTATATTTTTATTATTAAACATATTTTTTAATCTTTTTAGACTTTTTAAAATCTTCCTTTTTAAAATTTTAAAAATGTTATTTATTTTTATTTTTTTTAATTAGGGGGCACTAAGGGGTTATCTATTTTTATATACAGGGGATTTGATACTTAGTATCTCTGAAAAGGAATACAGTTGGGGTCTGCCTCGGACCCTGAGGGCCCCAGCAACAGCAGTAACTCAATGAGCATCTGGTCCATGAAGGGATTATCCCATCACCATTAATGAACTGAAAGATTGTGACTGAATAACCCCACAATTTGTCAGGAAGGGGTTAATGGCAGTCTGTTTTATATTGTTTTTAGGGTAAGCTCCTACTGCTTTGTAACTTGATGTGTGCGTGCTATTTAAATGATTTTTGTATTTCAATGCTTAATGCTGTCCACATTAAGCACTTGCTGACCAGGCCATTTTTCAGTATTCAGCGCTGCGGTACTTGCCAATGCTGCAGTGCCGTCCGTCCGTTTTTTTTACAAGGGGCGGATGGCAAGAGGTTAAATACTGCAGTTTTGTGACATAATTACAGTATTTAAAAAAATAACATAAATAATTAAAAATATAAAGTTTTGTTTTATATTTTGATGAATTTGTAAGCCTATACTTAAGTACGGAGCTTTTTTTCCTAAAACAGCCTTATGTCCTTAAACAACCACTTCCAACCACATTAAACTAATGTCTTCCTGGCAAGCTCCCCATGCAAGGTGGGTGTTAATTAAAGTGGTTCAAACAAACAAATGTTCA